AAATGTACTGCTATCTCGAGAGCGGAATGGAGCTAATGTGTCGGCGTACCCGTTTACCTGCGGTACCTCACACCCCGCAAAAGTTAACGAAAATAGATACAACTTTATATCAAGTGAGGTTTTGTTGGGAGTTTTGGGGGTTTTTTGTTTTGTTTTTTATTTTGTTTTTTGTTTCTGTTTGCCTTTATACATTGTTGTGACGCAGGTTGTTTTTTTGTTTTTTCGGATGGTGTTTGAACGAAGACGTGTATTATATTATAGCTCTTCACTTGGGCGCCAATGTTGCTCACGATTCGAAGAGAATTTGTTATAAATAAAGAACATTAAAAAGCTGCAGCCATGACCATGTCCAGTCTAGAATGTTATAGTTGAAGTCTGTGTGTTTGGGAGATAGGCAGCGGAAAAGGGGCTGGGTAGACCCTTTATTACTCCCCCCCCCCCCCTCCAACCGCCCTCGGAAAAAAATAGTTTTCTAAATTGAAGAGAGGTCCGGATTTAGCTCAGATAACTGGACCTCGGCTGGAAATTTTTCGCATGAGAAAGTTCACATTTATTTCAGAACTGGAAGCCGTCAAGGCAATTTCTCATCGTTGGGGGGTAAAAAAGAATATGACGTCATAATGACACCTTTATAACCTGTAACAAGACAATAGTGTTTTGTGTGGGGTTTTTTTTACCCAAGACCAAGAGCGGCACCATATAACCGATTACTGTCGAACCTGCTCTAAAGGCCACCTGTATAAGACAACCATCTGAAAACACGACCATGTCCCACTTGCCCCCTTGTATCATTTGAAAAATACAGTTGAACCTGCTCTAACGGTCACCCGTATAGATAGTCTCCTGAACAAACGGCCACTTCTCATCGCCCCCTCCCTCTTTTTTCAGTTTTGTTTTCCGTGATAATGATACTGCGTAAGATCCCACCTGTCTAAACCGGTCACTTATTTCCCTGACAATGTGTGGAAGTCTTAAACAATTTCTACAATATACATTCAATATAATGACACTGTACGGGAAGTCTACAGTAGGTCTAAGAGAAGCACTTTTCTCTTCGGTAGTTGGTTGCAGTCTAGGACAGTTTCGATAACACTTCATTCTATTTTACAAAATATGGAGGTCTCGTATGGAAAAGAAAAAGACAGAGAGACAACATTTTTAGAGAAGTCTAACAGCATGCAGTTTGCACAGCCGTACAGCGAAAGTGATGTTTCTGTGCTTGCGTTCGATTATCAGAGGGGGAAAAACCCATGAGATTAGCATAACAGCAAACAGATAGAACTTTTTTTCTTTTCACCGTCTTTTTTCAATGGTTGCTTGTACCTGTGCGTTAACGGAAATGCACTTTAGTCTTCTGTTAACGTATAAGTTACGAGAAATTTTGGTACAGATCCGACTTCGCTGCAGAACAATTAACCAGTAAATCTTGTTTTTGGTACAGACAGATATGTTTCGTATAGTTCTTTACATTTAAACAGACTCTCTCTCTCTCTCTCTCTCTCTCTCTCTCTC